TTCGAGGCCAGCCTGGGCTACCAAGTGAGCTCCAGGAAAGGCGCAAAGCTACACAGAGAAACCCTGCCTCAAAAAACCAAAAAAAAAAAAAAAAAAAGAAATATTTTTTCAGACTTCACAGAGTAACTATCACTCACCCCATTTTTTTAGGACTCTGAGTGAATATTGTGTATTTCTGTACCATATCTCACTCTGCCACTAAGCTACATCACCAGCCCTCACTGTGTTGTTCAAGATGCATTTCTGTGATTAGAACCGGGACTGGTGGAAACCAGTTCAAGTGCTCTCTATCTAATTGATACTGTTAAATGGTGATATCAAGATGAGTACAGTTAGCAGCATTGTACATGAAAGTCCTTGCATAGCAAATACTTTTGGGACTAATAGTGAATGACCTCAGCTTGTGCCAGCTCAGAAGGAAAAGGATACCTGTGATATCGGAGGATACCTGTAATACCTGTTATTTGCGTTTGTTGTAGGTGTGAGCACTTCCGATCCATGTTCCAGTCCTATTGGAATGAGGACATGAAGGAGGTGATAGAGATAGACCAGTTTTCTTACCCTGTGTACCGTGCCTTTCTCCAGTACCTCTACACAGACACAGTGGATCTGCCACCCGAGGACGCCATAGGTACTGCACTGGGACCTGCCAGGCCATGTGCCCATGACTTCCTTCTGTTCTTAGACCAGTGACACATAGTAATTTACAGGTGTATTGACTCTTGTATACTTAAAGATAATGTGTGAAGTAAACATCTCTAAACTGCTACTGTTGTTTACAATTATGGACCTACTTTGTAACTGTAAACTTATTTTCAAATTTTAATATGGAAGGATGAGTTTCTAATGCATTTAACCTTTTAGAAACAAAAGAGAATCCTTTTTTTTCTCTTTGTACTGTGGAAGAAATTGTGTATACGGGACAGGTATATTGAGAAATGGAGTAAAAAGATGCTGATTCAGGTTCAGAATAGTGTTTGCTAAGAAACCACTCCCGTGAAGTGAACGTGGCGTGTTAGCAGCTGTTGTGGGTACTGTGAGCTGGTGTGACCTCGGTGCTCCTGCCTTTCAGGTCTTCTGGACTTGGCGACATCGTACTGTGAAAACAGACTCAAGAGGCTTTGTCAGCACATCATCAAGCGGGGCATTACCGTGGAGAACGCTTTTTCGTTATTCTCTGCTGCGGTCAGATACGATGCAGAGGTAACAGAAGTACCCCAGCTCCCTCCCGCCAGCCCACTTCCCTCTCTCCTGTGGCACAAGGAGCATGGCTAGTCACCTCTCCTTAGTGACTCGGCGACAAGCCTCCGATGAGATCCAGCCTTGCTTCTTTACATCTCTGTTCACTGTTTCAGGATCAGTTGTGTTTCTGCTTCTGCTTTTAACTAATTGGCTGGAGGCTGCACAGTGGGAGTGTAAAGTGCTGGACTCCTGGACTGGCAGGCAGCGTGCTTTAGTCTTCTGATGTCAGTGCATCTGTTTCTCCAGACCCACTCTGCTGAGTCCACCCTGGCAGAAGCCCTGGATGCTGTTTGACTGTATCTGTGTGGGTCTGCAGTTCTGTCATTGTCCTGGAGCTCAGTATTCTGGTGTAAAGAACTTACTGTGTGCTCCCTCTTTTTATTTTTTATTTTAAAGTTTGGTTTTGTTTGTTTGTTTGTTTGTTTGTTTTTTGGTGTGTGTGTGTCTGGAGACTGGAGGACAACTTTCAGGAGTCAGTTCTCTTCCTCCGTCTTTGCATGGACTCCAAGGACCGAAGTCAGTTGTTAGGTTTATGCAGACAGTGCCTTTGCCCACTGAGCCATCTCAGCAGTCCCCATTTGTTTATACTTAGTTGAATGTCAAATCTGGCTTTTTCAGATTTCTAGAGTCTGACGAGTGGTGTTCTGGAGTTTGTATGGCACTGAACTTTCCTGAAGTTGAGCAGAGCCACAGAATATAGACACCACATGGCAGAAGCTGCACCTGATTCACCATGTGCTGCAGCAGCAGGCACAAGCCGTGATGTGTGGCAGATGCTCTTGAATCGTGAAGACAGTGCCACAAAAGGGTGCAGTAGAGATAGTTAAGGAACTCATAGCTGACCTGGTTAGTTGGACAGATTCGTCAAAAATAACAGGGTCAAAATGGCTAGCTTGGCTAAGTACACCATGGGCCTATCTTTTAGAGGTGTTTTGTCACTTGACAAGGCAGTCTCTGGTAGCCGGAAATTTATTAAAGATACACATTGTGACCTTTGAGGTGTAACAGAGGATAAACTTCTTATCTGTCACACTTAGGGATTGAGTTGACCATTATGCCTTTTATTTTCAAAACCTATCCTATTTTTGCTTGTGGTTTTTTTATGATAAATATTTCACAAGGTCATTGTAGCTGACTTTCGAGCCTGACAACAAATGGGAAGACGGTCAGAGTCGATTGTAGCTAATGAAAATGGAGGTGTGGTTTGTTTTCCTCCCCTTCCTGTCACCGTTTGAGCCTGCCTGGTCCAAATGCTGTCTCTTTGGGCTGCATTTTCACAGTGCTCCATTGGGGATTGACTGCAGACTCTTCTTGTGCCTCTCCACTCTTCTCCATGTTCTGTGCTCAGTCCTGTTGATTTACAACAGCCCGAACAACCTGACTAAAGGCTGCAGCTTAGATCCTGTTACTGGAAATTTGTTCCCCACTTTCACCTAAAATCAACCTTTAAAGTTTACAGGAAAGGGCCAGGCACACACCTTTAATCCCAGACTTTAGGAGACAGAGGCAGGAGGATCTCTGGGAGCTTGAGGCAGTCTGCTCTGCATAGTGTGTTGCACTCCAGCCAGGGCTACACAGTAAGACCCTGTCTAAGAAAAGACAAAAACCAACCTTATGGGAAGAACTCAGTGCACTTCCAGCTGCAGCAGCCCCTGTCCTGCGCTTGTTTTCACTTAGCCAGGCACAAGCCTTGAATCCCAGCATTGGGGACCCAGAGGCAGGCAAATCTCTGAGTTTGAGGCCAGCCTGGTCTACAAAGTGAGTCCCAGGACAACCAGGGCTACACAGAGAAACCCTCTCTGTCCCCCCCCCCCCACCACCACCACCACCACCACCACCAAAAAAAAAGAACCGTTCCTTTAGAGAGACTACAAATGAACGTGATTACCTGGAGCTTATCACCATGTGACCAGAGCCAGCACTCAAAAATATGTGCTGAATTGAATAATTGAGTATTTCGTTTGAAACCCCAAAAACATACTGAATGAGTCAATACGGTTGAAGCACTTCACTACAGAGGGGCACTTTCATACAAAGTATTCAAGATAACAAACAAGCCTTAAGTTTCACAAACATGTCACGTTAAACATGGGAATAGAGCAGAATCATTATGATACACTTCTTAGATTTTGATACTGAGCTATACGATCGATGAGTATACTTTTACATTTTATTTCCTTAAAACTTTGGAATGTAGTCAGTGACCATAGTATTAGGTGTTCAAATCAAACCCATTTATTACATACTTTAGTTGATAGGAAGTGACTGAGATTGGTAATCAACTGCAAAAACCAGTTTTAGAAGTCTAACTTTGGGGTAGCAGATGCCGTTGGGTCATGGCTGGTGCTCAGAAGATGAAGGCTGCCTGCTGCTCAGTTACCTGCTTTGTTATAGTGACCGACTCCTCCATGAGCCCTTAGAAGGAAACTTTTGAAGTTAATGTACAAAAGAAGGGCAGGCTTGGTAGTTGTGCCTGCAGAAGCAAAGCCGTGTTGAAAGTCTTAGGAATGACAGTCTCAAGGCTGTCAGACTTGACACGCCTTACAGTGGACTGGGAGGAGCCACAGTCCCCAGACTGATGGTGAGAAACGAAAGCGCGGCCTCAGCAGAGCAGTTGTGAAGTGTGGCTGGGGGACTTGTGTTTAAACGCCGAGGGCAGCACTAGCTGAGGGGCCGTTTGAAGACGCGGCAGTGTTTGACTGGGCACTGTGGAAGTCTTGGGCTACATAAGACTGCCTCTATTGGTGTTTTAGCACTTTAAACCAGAATGTCAGGGCCCTGGGCCAGTGTTTGAAGGAGACTGGTTTTCAGATTGTCTAATGATTGGAATAATTTCAGCACAAAAGACTTGGACCAAGAGCCTGTGAGATGTCTCGATGGGTAGAGGTGCCCGCCACGGAGAAGGGGAGAACCGCCTGCTAACGGTGTCCTCGGAGTTCCGGGCCTGTGTGCCCCTCCCAGTTATTTCTTTTTTAATTTTGGAATATTTTTTCAAAATGTCATTTAAAAATTTGTTGTTCCCTGCTAACTACAGTAAATCTGACACTGGATCTGCCCTAGATATTTATAAATTTCAGTTTCTAGTACAAAGAAGACCTTTCAATTTTACATCCTTTCCTCCTCCCTGTCCCTGAAGCCTAAGATTCCTTAGTTTTATTATGTATGAACTTTTTTCATCTGCCAATTAAATGCCCCCTTCATCTACTTGGATTTTATTGTGAACGTCTTTTTTTAAGATGGTAAGATGGTCCCTTTTTGGAATGTTTTATATTTGAAGTGTAACCATTCTGTGATGGTTAGTTTCTAACTATGTAAAAGTTGCAGTTTTCATGTCCAGGTCATTGAAGAGCTGGTCATTTGCAAATGAACATGTCCTGTGCATTTTTAGAAGGTGAGGGTAGAGGCGTTCAGGGTTGATGAGATGGCTCAGTGGTTAGGGTGCCAAGCCTGACAACCTGAGTTCAATTCCCAGGACTCACATGGTGGAAAAGGGGAACCAGCTCCTGCAAATTGTTCTCGGAATTCACTTGTTTGCCAGGCTTGCCTGTGCCACTCTCCACCCCATAAAAGCAGCTGAAATATAAATAAGAAAGAAACATGGATCTAGGTAGGTGTGGTGGTGCCTACCTATAAGCCCCCAACTTGAGGAGGATGAAGCAGGAGAATTGTGAGTTTTTATTAGGGTCATTCTGGGCTACATAGTGAGACCTTGTCTTTAAAGTTATTTATAAACCACCAAAAACAAACAAAAAGCAAAATAAACAAACCTGGATCCATAGATGTGCTAACCCTGTAAACGCCCTTTGAGTTTCTGGAAAATAAAACTTGAGCAGCAGCTGACTGAGACAAATTAGCTGTGGCTTCTTTCTTAGTGGCTTTTCGTCTGAGTGAGTTTTCTTGAAGTAGGATGTTCTTCTGTCTGGGACAGAGAATCCTATAGTAAGGAAATACAGATGTTCACAGAAGTATGCCTCAGTGCAGAGAGAAGAACTCTGTTCCCTGCTCCTCTTGCTGAGGTCTTCTCTGTACTATCTAGAATTCTTATATCAGGGCAGCTAGAAACAGGAAGTCAAGGCCCTTCTGTTTAGAGTTTCTCACAACTTACCAGCTAGCCCAATGCAAAAAAAATCAAGCTGTTTTGATAAAAAAGCTTCTTTTCTTTTTTAGTGTTGTTTGCTTTAATATGTTGGAGTGCTCTTTATATACATACAATTTGTGTAATAAGTGTGTGTTTGCACTTCTGACTTGGCAGGCATTACTGGGGGCTTTCAGGAGTGAATGGGTGTGTTACCATGGACACCATTTCTGTATGGCGCTTTACTGGCTAATGTTGGTAGTTGGTGACTTTCATTCATCTGCCCACCTGAGACTGTAAATAGACTTGTCTGGCGTTGACTGGGAGCTTATTAATAGCATGCTGGAAGATGTAATATATTATGTGAGACTTTAAAAATGAATTCATTTTTATTAGACCATGATAGTAAAGTTTTGGAGATTTTCTTTTTAAATATCATTTTAGGTAGAGTACAAATTTTCGTCTATTTCCTAAAGCCTTCTGTTCTTTAAACTGATCCACATTCTAATTCTTTTCTGGTTTCTTAAATGTAACAAAACATGTACAGACTAAAGTGGCATTGGGCTTTGTACAATGTCTTGAGATACGTGTGCTATAGGACGGCCATGGAAGGTCTCTAATGATTGTGTGTGTGTGTGTGTGTGTGTGTGTGAGAGAGAGAGAGAGAGAGAGAGAGAGAGACAGAGACAGAGACAGAGACAGAGAGACAGAGAGACAGAGACACTTGAGTTAAGGAAACCATGCTTTTACTCCTATGAGCAAATGGCAGGTGGTTTTCTGATGACATGTAGTCATCTTGCTTGCCTGGCTTGCGCTAGCTAGTCTCAAGCATCTCTTCTGGGAAGGGCAAGAGAGTTGGGATGAGGGGATTTGCCGAGAAACAGTTCACAGTTAATAAACAAAGGCCTCTTCCTGTTCTTATTTTTGTTGTGTATGTCCAGGATTTAGAAGAATTCTGCTTTAAGTTTTGCATCAATCATTTGACAGAAGTTACACAGACTGCGGCGTTTTGGCAAATGGATGGCCCCCTGCTAAAGGAGTTCATTGCTAAAGCCAGTAAATGTGGAGCCTTTAAGAACTGAAGCCTGAGGCTGCTGGGCTGGGTGTGAGTGCTTTGGGGCACTGTGGGTGATGGGATTCTGCAGGTAAAACCCCACCAGGTTGCCTTTGTCACATCAGAGACAGTGCTCTCTAGGAATATATGAAGGATGTTTGCTTTTTATGAGCCTGTTTTTCACAACTCTTGTTTCTAGATATGTATACTTTAAATGTGATTTTCTTACATTGGGCTGAACGCTGTGAAAGGATGAAAGCTTAGTTGCTTTTGATTTTTTAATTTTGATGAGAGGATCTTTTGAACTTGGATTAAGGAAGTCAATGAGATGTCCCTGGGCCTTTGACAACAAGCCTTTTCCCATTGCCTGTGAAGGAGAAGCCCTGCCCGGTGCTCCCTGAGAGCTGCTCACTGTCACCACCTTCCTGTGGGGCACCAGCCCTGTGGGAGGCTAAGAAATATTGTCGAATATGCACTAAACCCACTTCAACAGTCCAGAACTGTTTAGGTTTGCTGAGGTTCTCTTAAGATGTGGGCCTAGGGCTGGAAAGATGGCTCAGCAGGTAAAGGCTCTTATCACTAAGCCTGATGACTTAAGTTCAGTCCCTGGAACCCACGTGGTGGAGACAGCAGATGTTACAAGTTGTCCTCTAACCACTATACATGTTCCATGACCACACACGTGCACACCATTTTTAAAGAAGTGTAATAAAAACTGAAAGCTTTAGATATCTCAAGAGTCAGGACTAGAACTACCTGTGAGATGCTCACGGTAGAAGAAGCTCTGTTCTATAAAGGAGACTGGTTTAGAAGTTACAGTCGCCACTAATTCTGGGCTTCGCCTAACCCGTTCCCAGCACTGTTTCATTAGGGTCGCATTGGAGACTGCAGTGTACACTACCCCAACCTCTCCCTGTAAGTACTCACAGTGGCAAACTCTCCATACATACCTGCCCCTTTGTGACTCGATTGTTAAAACCACCCTTCTTTCAGGCCTCGATAGAATGTTCCCTTTCGGGGGAGGTCTGGGCCAAATTCCATCACAAATTTATTTGAAGCTTCACCTTCCAGTTTGGTTTTTCTTTAGTTGTGTTAGGAATACTTGTTGGCTTACTTTAGCCTTGAAATAGGGTTCCCCAAGTCATAGTTTGTCTTTAGATCTGGCTGTGAATGTTACTGGGTATAGGGTTGTTGGTGTCCCAGCTTCACCCATTGAGCTTGCTTTCAGAATAAGGCATTGTCTGCTCCATGAACTCCTTTACATGTGTGTGTGTTCCCGTAGTGTGTTCTGTTTCCCGCTTAACTAAGACCTTTGGACTTAGCCTGAGTTCAGAGCCACGTTAACAAGGCTGCAGGCACTGTTGCAGCCGTGCTTCAAAGTGTGTGTGTCAGGGTAGAGTGGTGAGTGAGGCACCAACGATAGGAGTTGTTGACAGGCAAAATAAATCAAACCCAGAACTCCAAGCTCCTTTTCTTGATCGTGTCACAGTGATTGTTGCCTGGTGTATGGTAAGTTAGAACTGGCTCTTCAGTGACAGTTCTTCCTCCTAGGACGATGAGTTGCACATTAATTTGACTTGTTGTAATAGGACATCTGTATAACCACAGTGCAGTAGACTTAGGGTCTCAAGGTGGCAACTTTAGTGTGTTTAAGTGTGTTTACTATTGCTCTTACTTGAAAACCTCTCCGCACAAAAAAGCACAAATTACAGCTGTAGATGCATATCCATAGATAGTCCACCAGACAAAAGCATACTGAGTCCTGATACAACTGAAGACACACTTCTCGGTTTCCTGGGTAGCTTGAGTGAGTGTGAGACAGTGAAAGAACAAGTCCTTTCAAGATGTTTGAGTGTTTTTTTTTTAATACAATCTTTTTATTTTTCTATTTGGTTTTGTTTTTAATCATAGGAAACAAAAACTATTCTTGAAATTAATGTTTTCTTCTGATGTAATAATGGAAGCCAGAGAAGTCACATTTCTTAAAATATCTAAACTGTATCCTTGAACTTACTGGAACAATGTTTGATACTCGAGTGTTTAGGATGCATTTATGTAATTTCTTGAATGACATATTAATAAACAATCTCTTAAGGTAGGCGTGTACACTTGTGGTTGTTTTCTCCCTTTACAATATAGCAGTATACAGCCTAGAAAGGAAGGAACTTGTTATTTTGGGACAACATGGATTAATTTGTGGACTTAAGTGAAAAAAAAAAGTCAGCCACCAAAAGGCAAGCAGTATGTGGTCCAGTTCCTAGAGGTAGAAAGAGGGTGGTTGTCAGGGGCTGGAGAGGACAGAGCAGTTACATGGGCACTTTCTGTTTTGCAGGAGGAAGAGGTTTTTGGATGAATGATGATGTTTGACTGTATTTGATGCTACTGAACTATATATTCTTTTTTTCCTCACATTATTTTATTTGAGTCTCACACAGCTGTATGAATTAAGCATAGTTTATTTTACAGTTAGCAAAGCTTCATAGACAAGCTGATATTCTTAAAAGCATTGAAATGGTAAATTTTGTATGTATATTGTATCACAGTTTTAAAAATTAGCAATATTAGAATAAAAATAGATACCACTGTGAATACCACAACATCTCAACTATCTCAACTACACCTAACCTAAAGATTTTATTTCTGTTAAAAGAGTGCAGTTGAATTATCAGAGTGGGAAATGCATTTGAATTGGGAATACTTAAAAATGAAAAGTAGCAGCTATATCAGTTGTGATACATATCAGTTATTAGGGGAAAGTGGAGATTGGGTTAACAACCAATGATATAATGGGATATAAAGTTTTTTAATGTTAATTTTGTACAAGAGTGCATATGCCATGGCACTCTTGTGGAGGTCAAAGGGCAACTTGTAGAAGTCAGTTCTGCTGTGTGGGTTCCTGGCATTAAACTCAGGTCATCAAGCTTGGTGGCAAGTGCTAAACCATCTCACCAGTTTGTTGTTTGTTTGCTTTGAAATAATGGAACCAAATGGAGTTGACCCAACAAACAATTGTTCTGTAGATGGTTTGTCTAGAATAGGGAAAAACCATAAACTTGTTTTTAGCTCATCTATAAAACAGTCAGCTAAACATGGGTGTTGATGAGCCTTCCCCTAGGTCTACAAAATGCAGCATTGGATAAGGGAATGTTTACTTCCCACGGTGCCATCTAATAGACCCTGGGCTTCCAGACATTTTTCTTATATAGAAATGGTGGGTATGATTATTTCGTTCATTTTTCACTAATAAGAAGAGAGCAGGCCTATTTGGTCAGTTTGCCCAATATTTGCCAGCATTGTGAACCCAATTCAGTGGTGCTCCCTTGTGCCACATAACTTACTGTGATTGATAGGTTAAAGCTGAATCTAGGCAGGAGAGGAAGCTTTAACATGGAAGTGTCCCAGCTGATGCTGATGGGTGGTCAGATTGCAGTCATTCCCGGTTACCTTTCATGAAGTGACTTAGACTGGCGTTGGTACCAGCATTGCACCAGGAATGATTCTTTAACAAGCATGTTTGAGCACTCATTCCTAACTGGGGGCACAGCTCAGTCCCGTTCTGGTAGCTAGCATTATTATGGACCTGAGAATCATGATAGGAAATCAGAACTGAATGTGAAGGAGTCAAGGGTCAGGAGCAATGTAGGCATGCAGATCTGAGTTGCATATTGTTAGGTGGGGAAAATGTCTTAATTCTTCCCCATTCCAAATTCTTAATGATGCTCATATTCAAAGAGCCAAGTTTCAAGTGATGGTGCTTGTCTTGAAGATGGCACATGCTCTTGTAATAACAACTGTGGCCAAAAAGATGCTTCTAAAAAGACTGATGAAGACCTGTAAAATCAGTAAAACAAAGCAGTGTATTCTACATTGTTACAGCTGAGGGCTGCTGTGAACTGTATTAAATAAACTGTCACTCATTACAATGTATTTTACAAACATTTATTGAGTTTGCTAAGTCTTGGGAATGTGGTAGTGAGCAGAAACTCGGTAACAGCAAGCCACGGGAATGGGTTTCTGCTCAACTCTATTGGAGTTATTAATACTGCAAGAAAGCTATTATGAGACCTACTGGAGGGACAGCAGAGACGAGAGAAAGTTCTAAGATTTCACCACAGGATGTGCAAGGGCTCTGGTACTGCTGTGGTTGACTGGGGTGGGTAGGGAAGGCGCCACAAAGAGAAAGACTTCCTCGCTCCTTGGATGACAGATGGGGGGATCTGTTCTCAGCTGACCCAGTTGACCTGAGGAGCCATTTTTACTGGCGCAGAAAAAGTAGGCAAGTGGGATGAGGAGAGGAGAGGAGACAAGAAACACCCAGTCAGGTGTAAAAAGCAATCAGCAGTAGCAGTAGCAGGTCAGGGGGGATAGGGACCTACGTAGCTGTCACAGGCTGTCTTCCAGCCTGCTTGCATCTCAGTAGACTGGGCATTTGAACTGGGGGTCTTCAGGGAAACAGGGAGGATCCTGAAGTAGAGCTGGAGTAGTTCAGGTCTCCATTTTCTTGAAACGAGCACAAAGTTTGTGTTAAGTTCCCAAGTGCCTCGAGCTGCTCCTTCAGCAGCCTCTGCCTTTGTTCATGTTCACAAGCTTTGCTCTTTATTACTTTGAAAAGAAAGAAAGTGGCTTTAGCTTAGGCAGTAATTTGATTAGAAGTAATGTGCTGTCTCTAGTCCGGATCAGTTCATATGTACACTCCACAGTAGTTGTGCCTCAATTAAAAAGATAGTGATATGAACAGAAACGGCTTTTTCCAGGGCTTCGCTTCCTTTTCTGACTCAGGATGGAACCCCAGCATTTAACACACACGACTGCATACCTTTATAGCAGAATGTATCCATTCGTTCAGAGACTAGAGAACGTAGCTAGACTCCCAAAACTCATTCAGGAGCACATCTCTGGCTCTAATGACATTTGTTACATCACACCTTTGGGTGTGATTTAGGAAAGGGAAAGCTTTATTGTAGAAACCTACCAAGGTCATTTTCGTTAGGTGTGAAAGCGTCACAGTTGAAGTTCGAAGTTCATAGTTGTCGGCAGGACAGCGTACCTGCAGTCAGCTTGAAATACTGGGCTGGATTCAGCCAGACCAGAACGGCACTGTGTCAGGTGATAGCCTTGCCCACTGCTTCTCGTGCAGTCCTGGGTGTGTCACGTGCTCCAGACACATCATTTTCATACTAATTGACACATGGAAGTACCATAGGAAACACAGCTTTCTAAAGGCTGTGTTTTCAAGCTATTCTTAACAGACATGCAACTTTTAAAGTAATTTTTCTGCTGGTAAAAATGAATATTTCGGGCTGGAGAGATGGCTCAGAGGTTAAGAGCACTGACTGATCTTCCAGGCCCTGAGTTCAATTCCCAGCAACCACATGGTGGCTCACAACCATCTGTAATGAGATCTGGTGCCCTCTTCTGGCCTTCAGTCATACATGCTGTATACATAATAAATAAATAAATCTTTTAAAAAAATGAATATTTCAGAGTTCAAATAGGAATGAGTAACAGAAAACCAAAATGAGAGAGTCTGTACATACTGAGGCGGCACAGGCAAACTCTTTTCTCTGCAGAGAGAACTGCTATCCTACCCTGTTACTGAGAGGCGCATCTGTAGAAAAGAACATGGTAGAGCAGTGTGGTCTGCGGTGACCGCAGGGCCATTCACACCAATCCTGTGGGAATCTGGCCCACACCGTGTCTGGGTGTAGTGCATAGTGGTCTGTAGTACTGAAAGGGCAGAATAAACGCATGCCGCCTATGTTTTTTAGACAAGGTTTCACTGTGTAGCCTAGGCTGGCAATCCTCCTGCCTCACCCTTTCAACTGCTGGGATTATAGATGTGCCCCACAGCACCCAGCTAACTGTTCCCACCTGTGTACTACCATTGTTTCTTTAAAAACAAAACAACACAAAAACAAAGAAAAAACTTATTTTGGCTATTCTCGCTCCCACCCCACACCCCCCCACACCCCCACACCCCCGATGATTTTTAGGATTACAGTACTCTGCTTCAGGAGATGAGCTTTGAAGATAAACTTAGGAAAAGAGTGACATTTCTTCCAAGTGAGAAGGAGGCATGCTGCAGGATGGGTCCACTGATGCCTCCATCTTGCTGCGGGGGCAGAGAGGCTGCAGGAAGCCTCTGTGCCTGGCTATACATGGATCGATACTCTGCAGTTTTAGAATCAAAACCTTGTGTTGTTTCTGCCTTGTCAGTCAGTTTTTCTGATTACATAAGAATGTGTGTGTCTACCTGGAAAACAGAACTCTAATCCATCCACCTATAAATCACTGCTATTTCTATGGCGTCAGCTGTCTATCGTCTGTGTCTGTGTGCACCTATGTCTTTTGCATGTTTTTCTTGCTGTGTGTCATACTGTTGTTGTAATGGGCTCTTTTCATTTGGTATGTCTTTTAGAAGTATGTTAATTGTTTTGTCACCTGCCGTTTTGATCTGAATCATAGATGTCTCTAAACCACACTGTTGGTTACTTTATGAGTCACCTACCTTCTTGGAATTTTATTAATGTGTCTTCAAACAGTCCAGAGTCAAACAGTAAAGTATCGATCTCTTCATAGTCTAGAGGGAAAACAACTTCCTGTGTTAATTTGATGGGAGTGAATCACACGGGGAGAAACCAGAAAACCACCCCCAATATGGAAGAGTAAGAAGCCGAGGAGTACAGGACAGTGCAGAGGCCCTTCAGGGAACCCCTGAGAAGCAGCAACTCAGTATTTCTGTGCGGCTGGAACTTGTTTCAGGGAGCCCCCAAGTGATCATAAGGCACCCACAAATTTGAGAGTTCTTGGTCTTCAGAAAATAAGTAAATAAAATCATGTAACAAATGAGCTCTTAGAAATGTTTAGTTGTAGTTTTATCTCTTGGTTTTAGCATACAGAAAATCATTTTAATATGTCCAGATTTTACATTGCCACTTACAGTATGAACCATCCAGATTCCCCTAACAAGTAACTAAAGCTTTTAGCTCATTCTGTAGGTTATAAGAGGTCACAGTATATAACTATATACTTACATACTGTTAAGTGACCCTTTTTATTCCCTAGGAGCTCATTAAGAAAGAAACGTCAGGGCTGGAG